TTAGTTTTCAATATTGTCACCCTATCCCACCCTACTGTGTGATTGTGTCATGGCATGCAGAGCTATTGTCGAGTTTTTCTCTAGATTTCTTATCTTATTAGGATCTACTAATCTTAATTTAGCCAAGTTTTTGTGCTCTGTTATTCCAATCGACCCTGGTCGACTGCTTTAACCTATGTATTTGACCTCGCAACCATTGCAAGGGATTTGGTAAACGAGATTGTTTTGCTTTGAATGCCACTTTAATCCCTGCCTTATTGAGAATTCTTCGTAGTGCTTCTGAGGTGCCTTCCCTGTATGGTAACACAGCAGAGGCTTTGAATTCTCTCTTGACCCTGTTGGCATTATTACCATTAGTAGTGGGATTATTATTAGTAACATCTGTATTACTACTACTAATACTACCACTGCTAATACTTTCCTTTCAATTTCTTATGAATTTATTTATAAATTTTGGTGGGTAATTATTGAGATGTAGGGTATTCTTGATGTGTCTAATTTCTTGTCGCAGATTTTCCAATCTACTAGTAAGACTGTAGATGTTAGGCACAATCGTACTCCTAGTATAATTTCCTCGATCGGCAGGTTAGTTCGCTGCGTAAGTTCTTTGTCATCTTTAAGCCCATTTCGAACTTCCCCCTCAATCGGTATGTTTGTATAAAGGCTAGTTATGTCAAAACTAACCATTTTTTCCCTGTTGTCTAAGTGTATGTTGACTAACCTATGCTTTAAGTCATAAGAGTTGGTAGGTCAAGACTTTGAGTGATTTCTTATTGGACCTAACACCATTGCTAAATATTTAGACAACTTGTAAGTTGAAGTGTTTCTAAAATCTTCTATAGGCCTGATGGGATAACCTGGCTTACGAATCTTAATAGTACCATACATTCTACAGAGAATTATTAGTTCTCGGTATTAAATTAAACTACTTTGACTTACTCTACAATCAGTCATCTTAATTAGCTAAAGATAATGACATAAGATAACATCATTCAGCTTCTTTAAAATCAGTCAGTGTGACAAAATAAATCTGCAACAAAATCATTTTGAACTTCTTATCCTTCCCTATATTTTTTCATTGATACTTTTACAAAATGTTTAAGTCATATAGCGTGTTGAAAAATATGCTTTTTCCACAGGAAAAAAAATTTTACAAGGGCGTATAAATACCGATAGAAATGTCGTAAATATAGTGAATTTTAACAGAAGATCAAACATGATAAATTAGTATTTTTCACGTCTTTGGAGGTATATAAAATAATCTCTCTTGTTTTTAATTATTTTGTATAATTATATTTCACTTAGTAGAATTACGCACTATTTCAAGTGAATATCTTTTATCCAGTTCATTCAGTGGACGTTTTGTAATCAAAAAGAAATTTCGAATGAAATGTAATCACTTTTTCACTTTATGGATCTGTTAGCTGTGACCGATAAGATTGACTTTTAGGACAAAGTAGCATCTACTAGAATTTCTTCATAGAGGATAAATCTTTCTACGATAGTAATTGTCAACATAACTGGTTATTATTATCATGATTGTCGACGGTATATTCATCATCATTTCTAATGATTGTGTTACCAAAGCCAATGTATAGTTATGTAATTGACTGACTGCTGTATAAATGTGTAGTGTGGGCTGAAGACTACTTCACTGTCAGACCTCTAGGAACTGTTTAATCTTTCTACTGTTTCCAATGCTTTGATCTCTTGAACGTTATTGCTACTTAAGTTTAGCATGATTTATCTCTTACAATACCACTTAAATTGTCTTTGGATATTACAGTTTTGATCTTCATAGTATAGCGCGTGCTAATCGCTAAGGATGTGCAACCGTCAGTCATTATACAGTGTAACGAATTTCTACTCCTGATCCTACGAAATCTTCGCATATGGCAGAAAAAGTGCTAGTCTTCTTTTTTGAGGACTGTTTTTTAGAAGTGAACTGTAAAAGTCAAAGACTTGTCTCCTTTTCTAGAAAATGGTCGAACAATACCTAACTCGAGTCTTATGCAGGAGTGAAAAACAGCTGTACTTTGTGATTTTTTTGCAACAGTATGTCTGCGTGACTTGATCACTATCGCTTATCCCTTTCATTTTGCTTTCTCAACCAGGTATGCATTTTTAAAACAGTTTTATGAGTGCATAAAGTATGTTGAACGTTATGAGATTTCTATGTTGCAGTATTCTTGAAACTTGAACCTGTATACTATAAATCTTGTCTAAGACATCCAAGTTGATGACTGGCTTAAAGGTTGAAGGCAACAAGAATCACTTTGCAAAAAGGTTGTACAAAAAATTTCCAATTGATAATCTGTTTCGATTTCCGTTGTGTGTCACCAGTCTCACTTACAAACTCATGCTTTAAGCATAGACTGTTTGGTGGTGTCACTGATTCATTCTTCTCTCTATGCAAGAAGAATGCTAAGGGTAAAACGTCAATCATTAGAGTGACAAAGGAGTATCATGTCAGACAACTGTACCATCGTTTCAAAATAAGAAAAAAAGATTTATAACTCAGAATGAGGATCAAGGTGGTTTAGTGTTCTTTGAGATATGATCTTCTGTCGTGGTTGTTTGATCACCAAGCTTGGTGACATCCTCAGTACTAACTTCATAAAGATTTCCTTTCCACCTCCAGCCAGCACCCAGTAATTCAGGTCATCCTAAGTTAATAGCTATGAAGAAATCAGGTAATGAATACAGCATATAACAGAAAATTGAAGCTCCCAGTACCGAATCAGGAGTGCTATTTGGTAGATTTAAAAATATTACTGCCTTATCTTGAACTGTTGGTGTAGTTTGCTGAAGTAACACATAAAAGCTTTAATTCTGATGGCTGTAAAGGAATATTAAACGGGAAACAGAGGCAAACACTGAGTAATCCAGTGATCATAAAATGGGATAACAGTGCTGATAAAGACTCCCTTATAAGTAGAAGTTTTAGACCCTTTATACTTTTTAGTTTGACATCTATCATTCGGTTCACTGGGCAAATGGAATTGGACGGTCTTGGATTCCTGAGGGAACTAGCTTGGAGCTGGTCACAAGAAAACTTGTTTGGAAGTCATGATCTCACAAAACTCCTTATGCATTTATGAGAACAACTCAATGCAAAGAAAGATAGCTCTAGGAATGGTATGGAAGGCCATATTGAAACGGTAGGTTACTGACTGTTGTACAGTCTCGGTAATAAACTACTCATTAAAACTTTATTCACTGAAAAAGATTGCACTATGACTAGAGATACAATCGGTTATAACTGTATGAAAAGATTCATGGGATAGACATTCTCAGTCAGTATAAATTAAGCAGACTACCACTTCATTGAAGTGGTGATTGTAGACCGATAGTAATCGACACTTCAAAGATCGTCCAGCATGTAAACGAGTATTCAAGAATGTTTATCTAAAATCCGCAAAGTGGATGAGTAAGATCCACTCATCGAACATTTCAACAGAGTGAAGTGATTAGTGGAATTCTTTTGAACTGACAACCAAAAAAATTCACCGAATTTCACACCACTCCATAAAGTGAATTTAAAAATGTGAAATAAGATAGTTTGTGTGTACGAAGGAAAAGTTATGATCAGCAATTTCCTGTCGTTGACTGGAGCCCATATGCCAAGTCTAGCCAGTCAATCCAATCCAGTTCACGAAGGGAAATTACAGATTATAACACTGAACTATACAAGTCTAACAAGGAATAGCCATCGGGACTCGGATTTCTGGATTCAAATCTAAGCCGGAATAGCGACAAGAAGCTTGTATCCTTGATTCTATTACTGATCATCAACCATCCTTATCACCGTCTACTAGGACTATTAGATAAGAATACTAACTCATTTTCTATTTTGGTCTGATCAATAATAATTTCATCTTACTCCTCTTTACTCAGACATGTAGTAAGGGGAAAAAAAACTTTTAATTAGTGGTATAAATAATTCTGTCTAAAAGTATTCTGTAAAGTCTTTCTTACTTTACATAACACAGCGCCAAGTTCTTTTTCCTCTTGACATATTCTCACTGTCTAACAATGCACTTGTATCCGGCATATTAAATAGTTATGAATCTTTCTGTGGGAATCATTTTTTTAAACTTTAAAACCAGATCATTCTCACAAGATCAACATAATCATTTTCTTCTACTAGCATTCAAAATGAAGCTTAAAATCTCATAGTGTTATTGGTTAAGAACTACTGATTTGTTGACCAATCAGGGAAGAGAACTACACGAAGTAGGAAATAATTAATTTAACCATTCACTTCTCTGCAAATAAAGCAGATTACATGAGATTAAAATATTATTGTATAACCCATTTTGAAAGTAATCAGTTCATTAATGTGGTGTTAGTTTACAACAGAAGTAATTAAGTTCAGCGTCAACAGTATTTGAATAAAAACATGCCCAGTAAAAATGTCACCGAAAGACTAAGGTGAATCAAAACTTTTACATACATTTATTGATATGAAATAATAATAAAGTAGAAAGTAGTCATACCAGATTGATTTGATTTATTCTAATTTTACTTCATCTTCTTTCTTTTCTAGAGAAACATATGGAAAGTGGATATTTGATTAAAGAAAGTTTGACCTAATTTATTACCATCCTGATTGTTACTAAGCGAATGCTATCGGCTGACAGTATGCTTTCTAAATCCAGTTTCATTACAAGTCTATAACTCAGGTAATTATGACAATGGGTGTAACAACCTCATTTCACCTGAACATTGAACTAAATGATCAGTTGTTTAAATGATTTATAGAAATTCAAGCGTTCAACTACTTTCGAGTGAAAAAAGACTATCCCTCCAAATTTAGGCGAAAAAAAACATATAGTTTTTATATAATTAAAAGTAAATAAAAAATTGTATTAAATTTTCTTCATACGCCTAAACTCCATATGTTCTTCGATGAATTCCTATCTTTAATACTAATCCAATCCTCTGATAAGTTGAATGATCATATCTCTATAATCTGAAATGTGCATAATTTACTACAGATGAAGCTGATTGTATGTAAATATCAGTACATTCTCTTCACATCGTTTATCCTATTGTCTTTGAATGACTGGTTAATCCGGTGTGATTTATTTCATATTCAACATATTAAACAGGACAATACTAACAAGCAAAACAGTGTTCATCATTATAAGAGCGTATTCTACGATAATAATACTGAGTATCACCATCAAGGACATCACGAACACGGCGATGAAAATATGGATCATGTTCCTGTTACATTTAACAATATAACGAACAATACATCAACTAGGCCAATTGTTTTGTTAGATGAAAATGATAGTAATTTTATAATAAATGAAACTTTATTCAATAAACTGACGAAGAAATTTTCATCAAATCAAAATATTTCCAGTCGAAAACTAACTAAGCCTAAAGTATTAACCAACAGGATATATTCAGCATCATCTTCCAGATCGACATCAACCCCACCACCAACACCAATTATATCCGTTACTAAAATTATTAAAAACTGGCCACCAAACGATTATCGTATTGAATTTATTGAAGGTGAGTTATTTTCTTTATTTAAATAGATATTATAGTATAGTTTTGAAAGTTTATTTATCTGTCAAAGAAAAATGTATGATACTGGGAAGATATACATAAAGCTAATGACAATTACAAACTAGGCAGCAGTAAGTTATGACAATTAATTCTTCATGGATCATGGCTAGCAGTGGAATCCACGATGCGCATTTCATCCTTTTTGAGACTCGATAGTTGGATGTACCTGCTGGCAATATCAGGGCATCCGCACAGGAGTCCATATGTCAATAGAGACCGATCAATTCGGTTCAATCCGCGACGGTATCATATCAAAACAATTATACTGAATAATTCTTCAGTTTTTAAAAGCGGTAAACAAATCTTCGGAAAATTTATCTTAGCAAAAAAAATCTATAGTATGATACTACTTACTATTGTGCTTGACTAATACAACCTTGATTTAGCAGGGAAGATGCTAAGGTAATAAACTCTGCGAACATTTATTCTTAACAATAATGAATAGCTATGAGTTCAAAGAGATTCACGTTGTATTCAAGATTTAAACGGAGGCATAAGATACTATAAAACATAAGATTACTTCACATTGTCAAGCTATTCGGTCAGCATTTCAAGCTGATGCTCACGTACTGTGTACTTCCAAACATCGAAAGTGAGTTGTAACCATATAGAACTACAGTAAGAGTTGTAAGTTTCTTCTAGCGTAAATTGTTTTAATAGACAAAGAGTAGTCGGCAGTGAATTTAGAAATGACTTGGAAAAGTCTTACAACACAAGATTAACCACACCAATATTTTCATATGTTTTGGAATTCAGTATAATTGCAGCTTCAAATAACATGTAAAGCTTGACTTATAATACATGTAGCTAGGCAAAATGATCCAAATCATACCTACCATTTATAATATAGCCTAATATCAAATAGAAATTAATAACTCACCCTCCATCCCCCCCCCTCCCTCACTATGGAAAATAAAACAGTTTCACTGCAAATCAGATTTATCAATAACACTCAGAGAATTCTTTACAGTTTAGGTATTCAACTATCAAGATAATGGTTTTTAAATGTAAAAGAATAAAGTAAAAATGTTCTTATTTTAGAAGAAACAGTGAAAATTATCAGTAAATGGTTAAAGTATACTCGTCTATAAAAAGTCATAAGTGCATTTATCACAAATACTTTTATTGATAGCTGTCTTGTTAACAAAAGTGGGTTTTTTGTTGTTGTTGTTCTACATTTAAAAGTATATCTGTTGAGGAAGTTGGGCAGCAACTGTCCCACTCAAATTAACATATATATATATAGGAAAATCTACACACATGCACGCGAAAACATCTAGGAAAGCCTTAGCATTAAAAAACCTTTACATAGTTTAAATGTTAACTACAAATATGTTAGGAATGAGAAAAAAGAAATTTCACAGCTCTTAAATTACTGTCACAGGTAGTAGACGTTATTTTCTTTGTCATATTGGAGTAGTATTTCGTTTGCTGAAGTATGTATGTATGAAGTATGTCATAGTACAAAAGTTGTTCATTATATATTGGTAAAATGAAATATTCATTTGTCCACTAATATACTTACTTTAGTGGTCAAGTACACGCAGTTGTAAATCGTGTTTTTTTTTTACCAAAGGTATACAACCTAATGAAATGATAAACATGTATTATTATGCAGTCTTGGTGGACATATATTTCTTTTTAAAAAATTTTCCATTTACAATCACCTTTTGAATCAATACTAATGAGATACTAGTGCTTCAATGGAAAAGCTCTTCTTGACTAAATTATTGTTTGTAAAATCATCTTACAGTTGGGTAGATTACTATATGTGTATTCTAAACAGAATTACTTCACTCAAACTATTTTCATACCTGTAAACCAAACTGAATCTAAACTGTGTATTGATAAGCAGTGACATCTATGTGTAGAGATAAAACTCATAGTTAACTATATCAGATTGCCTATCTCCAAGATTCCAAACACTCTTAAATAGAATGTGCAAAGGAGTTTGTACATTGATAAAAAAAATAAACTGAGGTCAAGTTTCAGTCTATGCCGATATTGATTGGAATGATAAGTAGAAAGCAATAAGGATGTATTATGAAACCGGAAAATTCCAATACTGAATTATGAATATAAATTTATTACGAATCACACTTTTTGAATAAGGTCTAAAAGCAGTCTACGAAAACTTGAATCGCCTCCTCTGAATAACTAAACTTAACCTGCCTTCTCTGCATCTGCCCTCAGACTTGGTTTTTGCATTATTTCAGACCTCAGTCAAAGAAAACAAATAATAACATATGTGTAAATAAACTAACACATCAACAGATCTTTCACTGTCATGCTAGATATCGTCATCGGTCCATTATAGCTTCACACGAAAGTTTTGCGAAGGTCTAATTCATTGATAGGGATGTCTAACATGATAGTGAAATGTTTACCAACGAAAATCCTTACTCAAAGAACAACTGGGTCTGAACATCCATACCTTGAAGTACAAATTTTCACCATAATGTAGTTCGTTTCTTTACATCTGTTTACGTAACACCCTATGAGCAGTGCTTACTGTATACGGGTTCGAGGTATTATGAAATTATTCACAGTGAAGTAAGTGGGGTAGAATTAGTACATAGGATTTATTGCTTGAAAGTTGAACACCTAAGCCATTCTAAAAAAGGCAGTACGTTTTACTTTGTAGTCTAATTCTATTGAATGTTCACAGTTAAATAATAGTGCTACATTTATTCGATAACACTGCCATCCGTAGAGGAAAAACAAAGATTATATCTATCATATTAGCAATGGTGTGAAGATATGCGAAGATGTTAAAAAGTACTAATGATGGATAGTGGCTAGCAGTGGAATCCAGCATGCGTACTTCGTCCTATTTGGGACTCATCAGCTGAATGTACCTGCTTCCTAGTGAGCGATGTTGTTCCCACCGGGATTCGGTCTAGGGGGCGATCGGTTCAAACGCCAGGGCCTATTTTCCACTACACCACCGAGCCACGATAGCCAATTCTTGTGCGATAAAGTTTTAGCATAATTGTTTTTATATGATACCGTAGTTGCTAGCCACGATCCATTATTGATATAATTACAACGCAGGTAATATCGAGGCATCCGCACAGCAGCCCATATGCCAATAGACACCGATCAGTTCGGTTCAATCAACGATGGTATCATATAAAAACAATTATACTGGTGTTGAAAAGTTACAAGAATTTAAAAAATCTCTTCTAGTTTTCAATATATAACGGACTGATGCATGTGAACTAAAAATATCTAATTAAAGACTGTTGTCTTTGAATAAATGTCTTCATAGAATAAATTCACCTTGAAATCCGGGCTTAATTATCAGCCATTTTTATCCTATTGTTTCATTCTTTCGATAATCTAGTTCACTTGTAACTAGTGGAATGAAATTACCAATATTTTCCTAGCGCTAGATGAAATGACTGTGGAAGTACGTGAAACATATCTGTTAAGGGTGGCGGCCACTACTGATGCATAATCTGATCTTATTAGGAGTCGATAATCAATTGAATGGCTTTGTTGTAACGTATTTATATTCAGCACTGAGATATAGGTACGAATCTGCTGAGACAACAAGGTTACGTTATGCTGATGTGTGTTTTATGTACAGTTTTATTTCAACTGATTCCAAACGTCTATAACCTTGACAAATACTTACTATGTTCGACTCCTTTGGGCTTACTAATTTGTATATCAGATTCAGGCTATCATGTGTTTGACACTGAATGCACGACATGCTATTTTTTCGGTTATTTATCATAATGGCCACATCATACTTTATCCTACACTAACGGTTGTAGTTAGACATTGGTTAGGCTTTTTATACTAATGACTAATAACTGAAATAAGAAAACAAACTCTAGTATTGTAAGCAATTTTGACATAAAATATAAACATAGACTTTGTCACTTGGTATCAAGAGAGAAAACGTTGATTACCCGAAGGTTTTTTTACTTAGTTTACTGTTGATGATACAGAATTATCGATATGTTGCAGAAAAAAAGAGAAATCATATATGCATGTTTTACAACAAAGATTGTTTTTAACAAATTTACTGACTAAAAAAAGCAGCAGAATACTTTTACAGGCCTTCCCGAATAGCTTAGAAAACATAGAATAGTAGTTTTGCCTCTTAGACTAATATTTCATTTAGCTTTAAAAGAAAAATTCAAATCTTCCCCCCCGGGATAAATGAGGTTATAACGTTTTACAATAGTTAAACTAGTTGAAAAAGAACTAAGTACTTTTTTTTAACTAAAACAGTCTGTAATAAATGCGAAAATACTAACGAAGATGATAAATATTAACAGACAGTCATCACAAACTAACGTCAGTTGAACTACTAAAAAACTGGGAGCACTGGACAGCTGTTTCGCTCCAGTATGGGACTGTTCAGAGATGCACACCTATAAACCCGCCAGGGGTCGGACACACGACTCTCCGGTTTCATGGCCAACACGTTACCTTAGAGCTATTGTCTACTTATACCAGTTAGTGATGAATATCAACCTGAAATCAATGAATAAATCCTCCTCCATATTGAATAAATGTTTACCATCATCAAGTTAAGAATTGTTAAATGCTAAGTATTTGATAGTTAACTCCAAAGCTATTCTACCGTAGAATTAATCACACACTGACTGACTGTTAGTTGCATTATAATCTATCCTATCCTGCTTAGCTCAGTAGTAACTTATCAAAATGCTGAACTAGGCTTTTTTTCGTTCAAATTTCCGGCATTAGTTATGAGTATGGTTGAATAGTGTTTATCGAAAGCTAAAAAGAATCTAGATTGAATATCACCAGGTGACTGCTTCCAAATATTTAACATCAGTATTACAACACCATTATAATCATAAGTCTGTCAGTAAGCCTCATCAATAGAATAGAACTAGCACTCAGGATAAGACATTATGACATAAACTCTTTTCTTTTTAGCAAAGTATGAATCTAAAAAGAAT